GCCTTGGGATCCCCAGAGTTGTTCTGCCTCCCTTTTCAAGATGTAATTGGTGAGATCGTTATTTGATCAATAACTCTCTAGATAATCATGCAATATGTCTTCTTCCTTTACTCTGTTAGCCATTGTCAATTCTGTAGCTTGCAACCAAGAGAACCTTACCTAGTAAGTATCAGTGTCCCCATTTTACAGATAAGGAAACTGAGACTTGGACAAAATAAAAAATTTGTTGTATATTACCTAGCTACTGACAGAACCAACTCAGGAACCAAGGCCCATCTGGCTAAAATTCATGCCATTAACCACTAGGCAATCCTGACTCTAAGCGCTATAGCGTAGGTTATTTTTGTCATAGGGATGAACCTGTGCTGAGTCCTATTTTATTTCTTGCTAAACAAATGATGGCATGCATTCAGGAAAAGCCATCTAGGGAAGGGGGCAGAATCTGCAGTGGCCTCAAATTGAAGTTCGATAGTCCACAAATAAATTAAATCCATAGCCTTGCCTATTGACACTTGGTCCCCACTAATTGAACTAAGCAGTTTGGCTACACTGACAAAGAGAAGATGCCTCTGTTGTCCCAAGTCAAGTGATCATATCATCTTAGAAAAGACAGAATGTTTCCTCTACACAATAGGATTTTTTAAATGGCAGGCAATCTTCCAGCAGAGTAAAGCATTTCAACCAAACAAATTGGCATGAAGGAGCTAAGCAGACCTTAGCTTTTTAGGTCATGGAGATGTCTCCCACATCAATATGATTAACAAATAACCAACCGGAACAGCTACAGCTGAACAACTGGAATGGGTGGATCTATCTACATCTCCTTAGAACAGTATCAGATCATGGTGAAAAAAATGTCTAAATACAACATCAAGCCAACTGTTATATGTCAAAATTTAGAGTTGCTCATCTTCACAGGCAGTAGAAGCACTCTTGTGCGGGTACAAGCAAGAGACACCCATTTTTACTATCAGAGAAAGACACTCATGCAAATTAACCTTAGTCTGATGTACTCATATATTTCCTAGTTCCCTTGCCTTATTCCCTTGTCTTTGGCTGACACCTTTAACCTGGGAATTGTACCTTAGACTGACGTGCTTGCCCACTTTGCTTGGGTTCTTCGGCTATTTTGATCCAGTGTCTGAACTGAGCCATCCCTGACTCTGCTTTGTCTCTGAATACCAGTTTTCAGCAACCCACCTATGCTTTCTCCATTTTATAGAAACAAGTGCCTCTTTCAAACACTACCATTCCTGTTGTGGGGTTAGTGATACCAAGGAATGGATACTACTATGAAGCCCAAGTATAGGACACAGCTGGGGCTAGATGGGACACACTGCCTTAGGAATTGTCTTAGTCTTATCACATTTGGTACAAATGATCAATTCTAGGCTTAGGGTTAATGTTTCTAGAAAAAAATTAGAGAATGGTAAATTGAGTGAACTTGTTGATGGTGTTATGGTGCATGGGGCAGCATTCCTTGACAAGGGGGATCACGCTCTTGCATAAAGAATGTTAATGCTCTTCCTTTACCACTCTTCAGAAGTGCCTATAATGGATACTGAGGGTCAGAGGTAAAAAGAGGCCATAGTTTTATTATTAATAGCAGACAAGAAAATCTAAGAAACCTCAGGTCCCCTTTTCCCAAGCATCACTCACCCATGTAGCCATGGCCTCTCCCATCTGTCTGCCCTGCTATTCCCCTAAAAGATCAGGCATGACATCTACCAAGCGTTAGCACAGTTCCCACCTTTCCTTGTCCAGTAGGACTATACACCCCTTGATCAAAACCAGAAGCTGTGTCGGTCTTTTTGTTGTTGTTGTTTTTTTGCATTGCCAGCATCTAATACAGTGCCTGGAACAAATTAGGGTTTCAATAAATGTCTGCTGCATGTACGAAAAATGAACAAAAGTCAAAACCATCTCCACTGACGAATCAGTTTCAATAAAGAAAAACAGTGTCATAGGGAAACAATTTTCTTTGCCAGCAAAGTAGAGTCCTATCATTTTTACACTCCACTGATTCACTCTGAACATGGTGTCAGGAACAATACAGGGCCAATAAACAATTAGCGGGGGAACAAAACCATCAGTTGAACCATCTGGGATTTGGGCGACATGTAGATTAAATGTCTTAAATTTGCCAGGCTCCTTCTCATTTGGCCACAATGGATGATTCTTGGCTGCACTGTACCAGGAATAATTGTCCCTCATATATCCCCAATCAGCTGCCTTTTGATGACTAGTCAGCAAGTGACAACGTAAAAGGTGCAGTGACTTTCACTGTACTTGGCAAATCTTGGACCAACTCCCATTGATTTGCCCTTGGAACAGCTGATCTCAGGGACACCTTGCTCAGCGGTCTCCAGTCCCTGCTGCAGGCCCTTGAGTTGGAAAGATACCCAGGAGAAAGAAGTGAGATGTCTGAAGGGACCTTTGGTTCTTACACTACCTTCCTAGACAGTGGATCCACAATTTCCTGGCTTATATCAAAATGGTCTCATGCATCCCAGAGGTCGAATGACTTTTCTATCTCCCCAAACCAGCAACCAGGATAGTCTACCCTAAAAAGAGATTTGGAAGGAGTTCAGGAGCTTGACAGACTGGCCAGCCAAATGAGACCCACTTCTGTGCTGGATGGCCGCCTCCCCATCCTAGTTCATGTTCTGGGGTGGCTGCTTTGAAAATTCAGTGAATCTGAATTTCACTTCTATGAGCCCCCAAAAAGCTCCTTTTGCTTTACTCCAATATCCTGTGTCCTCCTTTTGGTCCAGCTGTAGGGAAGGTTTGCAGTTCTCTTGAAATATACTTTAACTAGCAATATGGTTGACCTCACAAAAATGACTCCTTGAAAATTCTTGACTGGTTATCCAAGCATGTTCCAGGATCACTCCTTATCACCAGACTTCTGATACCTGGACAATTCTGGCCACTGGTAGTCTTTAAGGGTGTGACCCTGCATGACCCTCTCCTCAGGAAAGTCTTCACTAAATTTCCATGTCCCCTTATTGGTCCAGCCCATGCTGCTGCCTTGTATCATTTTATTACTGCTTCTTATATCAATGTGTCAACTCCTCAGCTAAAGAAATGATAAGCTTCTGTAGACAGAAACTATCTCTTCTACACACACAGTATCCTCAAAGCCCTAGAACTATGCCCTCGGCAAAACTTGATAACTATGTAAATTATCCTTTCATACAAAATAGAGACTGACAACTCATATACAGCCAGCCAGATTCTGTGTGCCTGGCACAAAAAACAATTAACCAAGCTGCAATCTGGATGTGGCTTATAGACTAGGATCTCCTTGTCTTGATGTTGTCTCTTTGCTTACCTTTATCTCTGCCCTTTACCCAAACTGTAAATTCAGTGCAAGTGTAAGATCCTAAAGCGGTAGAGAGAAAGGGGCTTCCCCCAGCATCCTGGCCTGTTGTAAATGGTCAGCCCCCACTCTTTGTCCCCCAACTCTTCAGCTACCTCTCACACCCTTCCCCCCACCTCACTACACACTCCATTCTCTTATGGACTTTGTTTGGTTCCTCAACTGTGCCATGGTCTCTTTTGATCTTTTTTTAGAGGAGAATTTTTTTTTTTAAGTTTCTTTTTTCCTTGATGTGGACCATTTTTAAAGTCTTTATTGAATTTGTTACAATAATGCTTCTGTTGCTTATGTTTTGGTTTTTTGGCTGCGAGGCATGTGGGATCTTAGCTCCCCGACCAGGGATCGAACCCGCATCCCCTGCATTGGAAGGTGAAGTCTCAACCACTGGATCGCTAGGGAAGTCCCGGTGTGCCATGGTCTCTTACCTCTTGGCACACGTTGCCCTCATGTAAAAGACACCCGGCTTCCTCCCACCTCGTTGCCAAGCTAACTCTTACTTATATTTCAAGTCTCAACCTATATATTTCTTTCTTGAAGAAGCTTTCTATGAACCTCTACAGCATGTTGGGTCCCCTTGCAAAGGCCTCCCAAACTTCTCTGTGCTTTTCCTTTAATGATGTTGATGACAATAATTACGACTGTAACAATCACTAACATTTACTAAACGCTTTCCATAGTCCAGGAACCTACTGACTCACTTAATCCTCACTAATATCCTGTGAGGTAGGTACCTAATTATCTCCATTTTGCAAATGAGGAAATCAAGTCTCAAAGCTATTATCTTGAGAAAGTCTGTATCACTCCATGAGGGCCACATCTCTCACCAAGTCTGGCCCCAGAATTCATGTTCTTAACCAACACATAACACTGCTTCTTATAGAACTCAACATGTCTGTGATTATTTAACAGCTAAGTATTCCACCAGGCAGCAAGCTCCACAGAACAGGGCTGGGGCTATTTTGTTCAATAGTGTATTTCTAAAGCCTAATCCAAGAGCTAGCAAGAAGAAAGCATCAAAAAGCATGAGTTAGGGCTTCCCTGGTGGCACAGTGGTTGAGAGTCCGCCTGCCGATGCAGGGGACACAGGTTCATGCCCCGGTCCGGGAAGATCCCACATGCCATGGAGCGGCTGGGCCTGTGAGCCATGGCCGCTGAGCCTGCACGTCCAGAGCCTGTGCTCCACAACGGGAGAGGCCACAACAGTGACAGGCCCACGTAACGAAAAAAAAAAAAAAAAAAAAAAAAAAGCATGAGTTAAATGAACAAAGGAAACAGCCAGTTGGTGAGCCCACCCAGAATCCCAAAAGAATTCACCTTCTCAAATAGATGTCTAACATTTAATCAAGAAAGTAGCATGATCATGGTAATATTTACTCTAAAGTTTCCCTCTCTGCAACCCAACCCTAGTCAAACAAATCCAAGCATCCAGAACTAGAAAGGGTATGATGTGGAAAGAAGTGAACCCTAGAAAATTCTTCTCCAGAAGAATGCAAGCACAGGGAGGTCCCAAGGGAGAGCCTGTAGTAGCAAAGGAAGCACAGGCAGGTGTATCCAGGGACACAGCTGCAGCACATCACCCCCACTCAGACTCAGTGTGCCACCACGAGGGCCTACTCACCCCTCTCGCAGGTTCGGCCCCAGTAGCCGGTGCCCGTGCAGTCGCAGATGAAGCGATTCCAGCCATCTTTGCACACGGCGTTGTTCTTGCAGGGGTAGCTGTCACACTGCTTAGCGCTCATCCGTGAACAGGAGGACTTGACGCCTGCAGCGTTCTGCATCTCCGCCAGCTGCCGGATGTTCTTGCTGCGCCCGTCAATGAACAGGTCACGGATGCAGCCCACGTAGCCATAGTTGAGCATGGCGGTCCAGAGCTCAGTGGGGAGGATGAGGCCAGCACGGTGCTCCGGCAGCCCGCCCAGGTACATGTCCCCCTCCAGGTCCAGGATCTCGCTCTCCCCACTAGCGGTGAATGGCGTGCGCCTGCTGTTCACTGATATGGTACCTGGGATGGGAGGACAGAAACAAAGTGAGCCAACAGTCCTCTTGGCATCACAGGTGAGGCTGCCAGTTGATGAACCAAATGAAAGGAGCCTAGCAGGTGAGACGGGAGACCACTGTTGCCTGGCCAGGAAGGAACAATGTAAGCAAGGGAATGAAATGCCGCAAAACAGTAAAAAGGACAATGTACGCCATTTGGCTCCAATCCCTGCCAGCTAAGACAGCCTGGCCCAGAGGAATCTCAGTGGCCTAGCACCTAGTATGATTATCTTTTTTTCTACCTAAAAGTCTTGGCTGAGAGGTTGCACATCACACAGGTTGACAGCAGCACAGACCGTGCCTGTGTTTAAATCCCAGCCCCGCCACGTACTAGCTGGATAACCTTGAGGAAGTGACTTCTCTTTCCTGGTCCTCAATTTCCTCATCTGTAAAATGGGAAAAGAACTGTCCCCACCTCACAGGTTGGTGTGATAAGTAAATGAGCTCATATACGTAAGGTGCTTCTTACTCTGTACCTGGGACAGAGGCTGTAGGTCCTGCCTGAGTCTTCATCACTGGCTCACCATCACCAGAAGGATGGAACCTGCTCTTCTCTCTCTCTCTCCATGAGTTGATACCCTCTGTACTGGCCTTAGCTACCAGCCCTACCAGGGCATATTTTCGACATTCATTGCCTTTGATAAATTTTAACTGGAACATGTTTCTTTCTCTCTTTTTTTTTTCTTGACTATAAATCAAATATTTTATTTTTTTAATGTTTTTAACACCTTTATTGGAGTATAATTGCTTTACAATGTTGTGTTAGTTTCTGCTGTACAACAAAGTGAATCAGCTATACGCATACATATATCCCCATGTCCCCTCCCATCTTCCCTATCCCACCTCTCTAAAGTGGTCACAAAGCACAGAGTGGATCTCCCTGTGCTATGCAGCTGCTTCCCACTAGCTATTACACATTTGGTAGTGTATATATGTCAGAGCTAATCTCTCAGCTTGTCCCAGCTTACCCTTCCCCCTCCCCGTGTCCTCAAGTCCATTCTCTACGTCTGTGTCTTTATTCCTGTCCTGCCCCTAGGTTATTCAGAACCATTTCTTTTTTAGATTCCATATATATGTGTTAGCATACGGCATTTGCTTTTCTCTTTCTGACTTACTTCTCTCTGTATGACAGACTCTAGCTCCATCAACCTCACTACATATAACTCAATATTACTCCTTTTTAAGGCTGAGTAATACTCCATTGTGTATATGGGTCACATCTTCTTTACCCATTCATCTGTCAAAGGACATTTAGGTTGCTTCCATGTCCTGGCTATTGTAAATAGTGCTGCAATGAACACTGTGGTACATGACTCTTTTAAAATTATGGTTTTCTCAGGGTATATGCCCAACAGTGGGATTGCTGGGTCTTATAGTAGTTCTATTTTTAGTTTTTAAAGGAACCTCCATAGTGGCTGTATCAATTTACACTCCCACCAACAGTGCAAGAGGGTTCCCTGTTCTCCACACCCTCTCCAGCATTTATCGTTTGTAGATTTTTTGATGATGGCCATTCTGACCGTGGTGAGGTGATACCTCACTATAGTTCTAATTTGCATTTCTCTAATAATTAGCGATGTCGAGCATCCTTTCATTTGTTTGTTGGCAATCTGTATACCTTCTTTGGAGAAATGTCTATTTAGGTCTTCTGCCCAATTTTGGACTGGGTTGTTTGTTCTTTTGATATTGAGCTCCATGAGCTGCTTGTAAATTTTGGAGATTAATCCTTTGTAAGTTGCTTCATTTGCAAATATATTCTCCCATTCTGAGGTCTGTCCTTTCGTCTTGTTTATGGTTTCCTTTGCTGTGCAAAAGCTTTTAAGTTTCATTAGGTCCCATTTGTTTATTTTTGTTTTTATTTCCATTTCTCTAGGAGGTAGGTCAAAAAGGATATTGCTGTGATTTATGTCATAGAGTGTTCTATGTTTTCCTCTAAGAGTTTGATAGTGTCTGGCCTTACATTTAGGTCTTTAATCCATTTTGAGTTTATTTTTGTATATGGTGTTAGGGAGTATTCTAATTTCATTCTTTAACATGTATCTGTGCAGTTTTCTCAGCACCACTTATTGAAGAGGTTGTCTTTTCTCCACTGTATATTCTTGCCACCTTTAACAAAGATAAGGTGACCACAGGTGCATGGGCTTATCTCTGGGCTTTCTATGCTATTACATTGATCTGTATTTCTATTTTTGTGCCAGTACTGAACTGTCGTGATTACTATAGCTTTGCAGTTTAGTCTGAAGTCAGGGAGTCTGATTCCTCCAGCTCTGTTTTTCTTTCTCAAGATCGCTTCGGCTATTCGGGGTCTTTTGTGTTTCCATACAAATTGTGAAATTTTTTGTTTTAGTTCTGTGAAAAATGCCATTGGTGGTCTGATAGGGATTGCACTGAATTTGTACATTGCTTTGGGTAGTAGAGTCATTTTCACAATGTTGATTCTTCCAATCCAAGAACATGGTATATCTCTCCATCTGTTTGTATCATCTTTAATTTCTTTCACAGTGTCTTATAGTCTTCTGAGTACAGGTCTTTTGTCTCCTTAGGTAGGTTTATTCCTAGGTATTTAATTCTTTTTGTTGCAGTGGTAAATGGGAGTGTTTCCTTAATTTCTCTTTCAGATTTTTCATCATTAGTGTGTAGGAATGCAAGAGATTTCTGTGCATTAATTTTGTATCCTGCTACTTTACCAAATTCATTGATTACCTCTAGTAGTTTTCTGGTGGCATCTTTAGGGTTCTCTATGTATAGTATCATGTCATCTGCAAACAGTGATAGTTTTACTTCGTCTTTTCCCATTTCGATTCCTTTTATTTCTTTTTCTTCTCTGACTGCTGTGGCTAAAACTTCCAAAAATATGTTGAATAATAGTGGCAAGAGTGGGTGACCTTGTCTTGTTCCTGATCTTAGAGGAAACGGTTTCAGTTTTTTACCATTAAGAACAATGTTGGCTGTGGGTCTGTCATAATACGGCCTTTATTATGTTGAGGTAAGTTCCCTCTATGCCTACTTTCTGGAGATTTTGATCATAAATGGCTGTTGAATTTTGTCAAAAGATTTTTCTGCATCTACTGAGATTATCAAATGGTTTTTATCCTTCAGTTTGATAATGAGATTGATTTGTGTACATTGAAGAATCCTTGCATTCCTGGGATAAACCCCACTTGATCATGGTGTATGAACCTTTTAATGTGCTGTTGGATTCTGTCTGCTAGTATTTTGTTGACGATTTTGGCATGTATGTTCATCAGTGACATTGGCCTGTAGTTTTCTTTCTTTGTGACATCCTTGTCTGGTTTTGGTATCAAGGTGATGGTGGCCTCGTAGATGAGTTTGGGAGTGTTCCTCCCTCTGCTATATTTTGGAAGAGTTTGAGAAGGATAGGTGTTAGCTCTTCTCTAAATGTTTGATAGAATTCGCCTGTGAAGCCATCTGGCCCTGGGTTTTCATTTGTTGGAAGATTTTTTTTTTTTTTTTTTTGGTACGTGGGCCTCTCACTGTTGTGGCCTCTCCCGTTGCGGAGCACAGGCTCCGGACGCGCAGGCTCAACGGCCATGGCTCACGGGCCCAGCAGCTCCATGGCATGTGGGATCCTCCTGGACCGGGGCAGGCACGAACCCACGTCCCCTGCATCAGCAGGCAGACTCTCAACCACTGCGCCACCAGGGAAGCCCTGTTAGAAGATTTTTAATCACAGTTTCAATTTCACTGCTTGTGATTGGTCTGTTTATATATTCTATTTTTTCCTGGTTCAGTCTCAGAAGGCTGTGCTTTTCTAAGAATTTGTCCATTTCTTCCAGGTTGTCCATTTTATTGGCATCTATTTGCTTATAGTAATCTCTCACGATGCTTTATATTTCTGCAGTGTCAGTTGTTACTTCTCCTTTTTAATTTCTAATTCTGCTGAGTCTTCGCCCTTTGCTTCCTGATGCGTCTGGCTAATGGTTTGTCAATTTTGTTTATCTTCTCAAAGAACCAGCTTTTAGTTTTATTGAGCTTTGCTATTGTTTCCCTCATTTCTTTTTCATTTATTTCTGATCTGATCTCTATGATTTCTTTCCTTCTGCTAACTTTGGGGGTTTTTTTGTTCTTCTTTCTCTAATTGTTTTAGGTGTAAGGTTAGGTTGTTTGTTTAAGATGTTTCTTGTTTCTTGAGGTAGGATTGTATTGCTATAAACTTCCCTCTTAGAACTGCTTTTGCTGCATCCCATAGGTTTTGGGTTGCCATGTTTTCATTGTCATTTGTTTCTATGTATTTTTTTATTTCCTCTTTGATTTCTTCAGTGATCTCTTGGTTATTTAGTAGCGTATTGCTTAGCCTCCGTGTGTTTGTATTTTTTACAGTTTTCTTTTATTCCTGTAATTGATATCTAGTCTTATAGCGTTATGCTCAGAAAAGATACTTGATATGATTTCTATTTTCTTAAATTTACCAATGCTTGATTTGTGACCCAAGATATGATCTATCCTGTAGAATGTTCCATGAGCACTTGAAAAGAAAATGCATTCTGTTGTTTTTGGAAGGACTGTCCTATGAATATCAATTAAGTCCATCTTGTTTAACGTGTACCTTAAAGCTTGTGTTTCCCTATTTATTTTCGTTTTGGATGATCTACCCATTGGTGAAACTGGGGTGTTAAAGTCCCCTACTATGATTGTGTTACTATCAATTTCCCCTTTTATGGCTATTAGCATTTGCCTTGTGTACTGAGGTGCTCCTATGCTGGGTACATAAATATTTACAACTCTTATATCTTCTTCTTGAATTGATCCCTTAATCATTATGGAGCGTCCTTCTTTGTCTCATGTAATAGTCTTTATTTTATAGTCTATTTTGTCTGATATGAGTATTGCTACTCCAGCTTTCTTTTGATTTCCATTTGCATGGAATATCTTTTTCCATCCCCTCACCTTCAGTCTGTATGCGTTCCTAGGTCTGAAGTGCGTCTCTTGTAGACAGCATATATG